CACTTTACTACTTTCCTCAGCTCACCTCTCCTGCTCCAGTACCGCGGTTCAGAATTCCCTCGGTCACTCCAAAACACCCCTGAACTTCACCCAGGGAGGTCCTGTGCAGGAGTCCCACGCACACTGAAACAGAAATCTGTGACACAAGATGGCTGCTCTATTTCTGGAGGGACTCCCTTGTGTTTCTCCTTCCCTCACGACATTCAGCCCTGCCATCCTTTTAATGCCTGACACAAACTCAAGCAACTTCTATGATGGTAAATTTTTTTAAAGGTTCGAGACACTGGCTCTCCTTGCTTTTGCAATGAACGTTAAAGGCTGAGATTTTTTTCATCAGTAGCAAATCACAAACAAAACTGAATCACTTTGCCTGGACAGGACAACTAGCTAAATGCAAGTATCTTCCTTTTTACTTCATCATTACACATCCATGTGCTATAAAGGCTTTTGACTTAATCAAAGCAGAAATGGTACAGTGGTACCATATACTAAATATATGATGGTCTATTTTACAAAAAACCAATTTTTGCCTTCACTCTACAACAACAACAAACCCCACAATTAAGAGCATACAATTCCTCTTCTAGGTACATGTGGAACACTCCACATTTCAGTGAAAACAGAGGTGGCACTGAATGCGGGAAGAGGAATATCAGGATTTTTCCAGTAAATCACAGTATTTACTATAGACTATGTGAAAAAGACTCTTTTTTCAACACATAAATCTATGACTATATGTATTCTGTGAAACAACGTCAGTAATTTTCATATACCAGGGAAAACAGAGCAGCTGGTAACTTAAGGTTTGTTATATTTGCATCCTACGTTTCACCAAAAGTTTTACCATTTATTTTAAGATATATTTTCAAAGGTCTGGACTGGAGAAAATAAAGTGGGTCCTGTGGCATGTAGATTAGCCTTTAGAGACTTCGGTTGCCAACTCTACCTGATGACTTAAGGGAAACAGTCAATCTCATTTTACTTCCCATGTGTGCAGACTGGTAAACCACCATACAAAGTGGCTGCATAATCAGCAGTCTCTGCTCCAGGACTAAAGCAACAAGACAAACACAGATCAAACGCTTTATGAAGCCGCTTGCACAACACCTGGTTACTTACATATGACAGTAACTGATGGTTTAGGTACCCTTTAATTCAGAAAAATAGGTTCAGAATACTTGGGTTGAGGTTTTTTTTATTTTTCCTTCCAAGTAGCACGTGCACAACCCTCCTACCTCCCAAGCTATTCAACGAGAAAGAAAAAATAAACCCTCAAAACTTCTGGTAACCTTTTCATGAAAAAGATCAGTAATTTCAAATACCATGTTATGACTGATATCCAAAGCAAAATTTGTTAGTACAGAGGGACACATTCATTTTGTCTCACTATTGTGCTCCACTTGCATAGGATTTGTAAGAGGAGATATGCATGTTATACAGAACCAGACAGAGTTCCTTAAAAATCATATTTATAAGCAAAACAGGGATTGAAACATCTCATTAGCTAGGAAGACTAAAGGGTTTTCTGGATTTCTCAAGCCAAGTTTAATGCTTCATCCTGAGTTCTGAAAAATGAGAATACATACACCTCGAAAGACATCAACTAGGAAAATGAGCACTTTGTACAGCTTATTTTGCCACCAGTAATCCAAAGCACACTTCAAACTTCTCATGCACCTGAAATCCCACAAATCTCTTAACTTTCTGTGTGTATGTCTTAGGTATTCAAAACAATCTCCCTTGTAGCTAACTACTAGGGAGAAAAAGAGGTGAAGAAGGAAAGTCAGCGAATATGTATCTTCTAAAGTTAGTCTGAACTCCTGTGGACCAGAACTCTATTAAACATCAATTACAGCTGTTTAATTACTTGGAGATGTTGTGTATAGAAGAGTTACACTAGTCTGAATGCCTTTACTGTGTTTTCTAAATTGCATCCTGTTGGAATTATTTTCAGCTGAACCCTAACACAGTTTCTTTCAGCTGCAGTAACTGGCCTAGGAATAATTACAACATCTGTAACAGTTTCACCACTAAGTTATTATGCACTTGAGCTTAATTCAAAATTTAATTTCTACCTGAGAACTGATAACACTGGAAAATTCACTTACAGGAACCACTGCATTTTGTGCTAGCATTCAGTATCAGGAAATGAACATTCCTTCCTTACTTTGCAATTTGTTTTCTGCATGAACACTCCAAATAACAACAAGATTTGCAGTGTGTTCTTGGATTATAGCACTCAGCAGGGAAGCTTTGGTTTTGGTATTAACAATCATTACAATCTCAGTTTCCTTCAAATCAGTGGTGCCCTCACTGCTTATAAAATTTGCTGTTCAGCATTTATGCCACTTATTTACATTTCAGATTTTATTCAGGCTGGAGTAGGAAAATCGTTGCATCAATTTCAACTTCTTCCATATCTTCATTCTCTGAAGCCTCTATATACTTAATAAATTACACTGTATTGCAAAAAATACTTTTCTTTCCTTCACTTCCTCTCTGATGTCCCCAGCTTACGCCCAAGCAGATCTGCTAACAAAAAAACCCTCCAAAACCAACAAACCCACACCCAAAAAAGAAAAAAAAAAGTGCAAGACGACCAAACTCGGAAAAACAGATTACAAGATTACAGGTGAAGCGCTTCCTTAAGAAAGAGGGAATCTTTACATTTTGGGCTGAGTGTCACTTGATAGAAATGAAAATAGAACTCCCCTCTGCATTTCTTTCTTCTCATTTGTGTCTTATCCTTATACTTAATACTACTGCTAAACTGAAATAATGCTTGGTCCTTATACTTTAAGCTTCATCTTCAAATCATACGTTATTACTTACACTACTTTCAAAAAAATTGCTGGGATCCAGCTTTATACTTGTTTTTGTTTTACAGATACAGGAACCAAGGTGAGAGATGCCCACAAGCATAAAGCACTGGGTAATCTGAACAGATAAGCCAGAGGTAGCTCTGCGTGAGCTGACTCACATAAAATGCAGTACAGCTGGATTAATGCAGGTTCAGCCTTCCTGAATATTACTGGAAGTATCAGAGATGGGATTCAAACTCAATTTTCATTTATAATTATGCACTCTAGCAATAAAACAAAGGCTTGAATAGGGTAGCATTCCACAATTTTAGTTTTGCCAAACTTCTAATGCACTTGCATGAATCATTTAGCCTTTCCTGGTCTCATTTTATCATTTCCTTTTTCCCTTTCACACAGGATCCAAGATATCTTTTCATTCTAAAATGATCAGATTAAAGGAACAATAAAAATACAGTGGACACCTATACCATTTACTGTATATGTCAAATATTTTACCCAATAACACTTGCAATCTCTAACTCTTGAACCTAACCACTTATTTCATACGCTCCAAAATCTTGTAAAAGACAAAAAAAATTCCAGCCCACATAACAATAGATTGGCCAATCTACAGAACTACTCAGTCCTATGTTGAGCAATGAAATTGAAATTACCATCCTTTTACTTCCATTTACTTATCAAAAGTATTTTGTCCTTACAAATCCAATTCTTATTGCTGTTGCTATAGTAAAGTATACTTTCAACAGAAACAAAGTTCTCTTCTTGATTTAGGAATAATTCAATTAAATCTGATTTGGGCTGACAGGAATGTCTCCTTTTTTAAAAACAAGGTTCCTGCTGTCATGACTTCTCCACTTCAGGATTACAATCTGGAGTGATTTATGCAAATGCTCAAAATTTCTCTGCATGATATATGCTTTCTTTTGGTAGGGGTTCACAAATTGGATTTTATATGTCAAATATTGAAAAGGAAAAACTGAAACAGGTCAGTGTTTTAAATGTGATTGATTTCTTCAAAGGAAATGGGTGACATGATGCATTACTGCAATAAGATACTCATATTTCTGTTATAAATCATAGGCTTTTGCTAGGCCTTTTTCAACTGGAAGTCATGCAAAAGTATCTTGAACTGCTGCAATGGGAACTTTCCATAAAAACTTTCTTTTTTATAATATGTTATTTTTCCCTCAATTTGCTCTGACAGATGGACTTCAGGTGGGACTGTTACTTTGCAAAAACCACTCAAGTCTAGAAGGTATTATTGGTAAATCACATTCCTTTTTTTTTTTTCCCCAGTGAGAAAAAACTGTGGAGTTTGAGATGCTTCACAAATGCTAGCCTATGGCTGGTATCATTAAAAAGTGTAATACATGACAACCTTGATTTGGATTATTGGGTGGATGTTCTTGAAAAATAAACAATCCTCTCTCCTGCACTGAACCCCACATTCTTTTACTTTTTTACCCAATTATGATCAGTAGTCTTTCTATGCAACAAATAGTCAAATGGGTATTAAATTCAAGCAGCATGTAAGAACGTGCAATAGTGGACTCAATCTCTTCACATAAACAGCCCAGAAAGCAAGTTCTGAAGCAGCATTAACTAGTGACCTAAGTGACATTTGGTAACCAGTCCTGACTTACAGCTCAGTTATCAAAAAGACTGTAATGAAGAACTGTAAAGGGTAATTCTGTGAAAGAACAACAACAACAAAAAAAGAAGTTTGGGAAAGAATGCCCAGCTTGGCAGGTTTATAGACTACTTTCACAGAGAGTTTAAAAAAACCTATTAAAAATTATATTTGTGTGTTTGCTTCAGCTGAGGAATACATCTGAAACTGTTTTAGCTGTGTCCACTGAAAATATTTTTATATGGTACCAGACTGTTCTGTGTCATCTGAATGGACATGTATGTGAATAAGCGAGTTACGAGGACTGTACAGCAGTATGGTAGTAAAGGACCTAGGCCTCACTGCTTATATTACCCCATACAAACTTCCATGTCCACATTAACCTAGATCAACTGCTTATTCTAAACAGCATTGCAACAACATATTCTTCACATTCTTTTCACATGGTGAAACGTGGTTTTGGTTATTAAACATGACAAATCTTGCCCCCATGTCACTTTTATTAATTATGAAAAGCTCCTTTAACAGTTTTCCTTTGCACTTCTCACCTTAGCAGCTGGAATTGTAGAGATGGTAACTCCTTCCTTTGCATTAGCCTAAGCGTAGCTTGCTGAATATCAGAAGAGAATAGCCAACTTCTGTCATTTGAACAAGGAGCATCAACCAGTACCTACACAATAAATAAGAGCAAATAAGACAATTCACTATAAGGATACTCACTTTCTGAATAGTGCGCCAAAAATCTACTCACTTTTGCAAATACTTAGAGCATCCTTATTATTTTCCATTTTAGGTGCAGAAATGATCTACTTACTATTTTGAGATGGTTTTATGGAGTTATCGGGGGTGGGGAGATAAGAAATTACTGCTCCAAAAGCGCCCTCTACCTGATTAGCTCTCCCTTGTTCCCCCCCCCTTCCTAATTACACATTATGCAAAGAACACTGCTGCAAGGTCTTCAGAATTCTCTACCAAGGCTAAATGGGTAACATCATCTAACACATGAATAAATGCATAACAGGCTTCATAAAGTGATTCCTAAGGCTCTGCAAATCCTGTACATGACCTTGGTTCCCCTTGATTTTTGTGGGGGCCAGAAAAAAAAGAAAATTAAAAAAAGAGCGACATAGGAAGAAAAAGCAGCAGAATGCAGAAATATAATTTGCTAATAAGTAATAATGTTACCTTTTCATATAATTCAGGCTTAAGATCTCCGATCTGTCTACCATCCAGTTTAGAGACTGTTATTAAGTTAATCAAAGGATATGGGATGAAGGATTCTATCGTCTGTTTCAACCATCTTGACCTCGAGTCATCATATTCGTTACAGTGAAACTGACCTTAGAAAATTAAAAAAAATGAAGTAAACACCCTAAAATAAGTCTTTATGGTTTTTTTTGGGTTTTTTTTTTTTTACAAATATAAGGAGCTACACTGATTTCAGAAGTTCTACTGTTTTGCCATGACTGCCATAGAGTTTACACCTCATGTGCTTATGTTATTGCACATTTTATAACACTGCTGAATTTTTATAAACCTGAGTAAATTTCAACATGCTCTTACAGAGCAATCCATAAATATTTACTAGCAAATATTTACTGTAGCAATAGACTTCCACAGTAAAACAAACTTTAAACATGATCCATATCCAAAGACCAGTGCTAAGTGAGTGCCTTTCTGGGCTCCTTGAGCCACTGTTTAAATGAAGTACCTGCTCCTTATAAATTAATTAACTGCCTTTTAAATAAATAAAACATCAGTTTTGCATATCCTAAGCTGAGAAGTCCAACCCGTTATTTATTTGAAATTTCAGCTGTGTTTTAACATAAGGGGTTTGGTTGCACTTACTTTTATAACAATGTAGCCAGAGTAGTTACCCCTTCAGAAGAAACACTGCTGTTGCTTGTACCCAGACCAGAAACACAGCACAATACTTTTTCCTCTTAGTCCTGTTTTCTGATTTAATAAAATTTTTATTTTCATGGTTCCACAGGTTGTCCTACACCATGTTTGCCACACACAATATGGTACATCTTAGCATTCACTGAGGTATATAAAGAATCAACTTCCTTACATCTTTCTTTCTCAGCAACAATTTGGTATCTTCAAAAGCAGCCATGGGATAAAAGTGGTTTTTTTCAAACCTTTTGAAAGGGCAATCCGCATTTAATTTACCTCATTGGTATCATTCCTCTAGAAGAGGGAGGGAGAACTAGCTGTAATCAACAGGTGCAGCTGGTTATAGTAATGGTCTCATCAGTAAGAACATAAGGTGCTGTGAACATTTTGAGACAATTACTACCCAAGCTAACATATAAACTTCGAAACAGCAATCACAGCTTGCTTTAACTCCCTGGCCTGGAAGAACTGAGCTGCTGCTTGCTGTTGCTTTCTAAACACTGTGATTATCTTAGTGCCCTTCTGCAATATCTAGGTGGACTGAGACACAGAACTTATTAAATACTGATATAGACCAATTCCTCATCATGAGCTTTCTCCCTCTGCCTAGATCTTGCATATTTAATTTGTTACGCTCCATTTTACATCAGTACACTTAAATTTACTTATACTATTTGCATAGCTACTCCACTTTTGTCTGTCAGTCTGCAGTAACCTATATTTAAATAACTACTGCATTTTTCATCCTCTTTAAGGTAAACAGACTTCATAAAAAAATCTTACTAAACAGCAAGGAACTACTTAGAATATAAATATAAATTGTTGTTTGGTTTTTTTTGCCCCCAATCCAAATCATGTACAGAACACAGGCACAACTGAAATAGCCCAGGCACAGAGCCAGGGATCAGCTTCTAAAAGCACCTCAATACATTACCTGGATAGGCACACTGCAGTATAGCTATTGATTTACCCCCTGGGGCAGCACAGAGATCCAAAACATCTTCCCCATCTTTCACTTCTAAGGCCAGCACTGGCAGCAGCGAAGCAGCATTCAGGAGATAATACTCTTTCAGTTTACCAGCCTGGTGCTTTTGTGCAGGGAATCTCCCAGGAGTTCTCCTGATGTAACACTTCAGCAATGCGGGAAGATAGGGCAAAGGTCCTTGAAAGGCAGGGTGATATCCCTTCACACCCAAGGTGTTCTCCAGTTCAGAGGACTGGCTGAACTTGTTAAGCAGGATGGCGTACTGCCAGCACAATGGGTACGTGAGTACATCTCTAGATTGAAAAAAAGAAAAGCTGTTTAATAACTTGGCAAATAAAATGATCCTTCCATAGTGTAGGAAGCCTTTTCTTACATAAGGGTAACAACCTCACCATTGGATGATTCTGGTACAATGAAAAAAGAAATCATTTTGATTAGATACGATTAAGAAAAGTATGCAGGAAAATAATTTTAATTTCAAGCCACCGTTTTCTCTAATTATTGCATTTAAAACACTAACTTCTTCTAAAACAAGATGTTCCCTATTTTCCCTAATTATTTAACAAATGACTGTAGAAGTTATAAATCATGAAGCATAATGGTCTTTCTGACTATAAAGTACTTCCCTAGGGACAAAGAACAACTGTAATATTAGTTGTAAATATCACAACATAAAGAATCACATTGGCTTTGCAATGGTTATTCCAGCCAACACCATAAAATGCAGTTTTTACAAGCATTCTTTTCTAAATTTTGTTTTATGTTCTGTAAACATTGAGCCAGAAAAACTTAAACCAATAAGATATGCCTGGAGAGAGTAAAAAAGCAGTGCTTATATGGTAAGAACACGCTTGCTCATATTTCAGTTCACTTTTTCAGACCTTTCTTACAAGGAATCCCCCCATTTTCTCTTTAAACTTCTCTCACTATTTTTTCATTTAGCCTCAAAAAGTACTTCTCAGGCATATTCACTGCCTAAAAGAGAAATACGCATTGATCCAACCTAAAAGAGTTTTTAAGTTAATTCACTTAAACTAATGCTATACATCTATGGTTTTTTTCTTTTTTTTTAACAATGGAGACACTTATTTTAAACTACTTTTTAATCCAAAGAGGTCACTCAGACGAATCACACAGTTTATAATACTCTGAACATGTAAGATGCTTTCTCCCTTCAAAGTAATGTGGCACTGATCATGGGAACACTCCTCATGCACTTTAGGTCTAAGTCAACTGATTTTGTTCAAATCCCTGTTGAAAAGTATATAAGCTAAGCAGTGAACTTGTCCAGAAGGGCTCTTCTGCTGGCTTTCCTATGAGCAACAACCACCAGCTAGCAAGGAAGGGAAGATGTCTTCTCTCAATATCACAGCCAGTTCTTTAGCAGCTGTGTAATCAAGGCCCAAATTAAGTGATAGCCTTTTCTGTACATGTTGCTAATATTCAATTTCTTCTGATGAAAGAAATCGGGGGATGTCCTTCTCTTCTAACATCTTTGTCCCAGTCTCTCAAGATACGATAAAGCTGTAGGAAAAAAACCAAACCCTAACAGCAGCTGTTAAGTATAAAGGGATGCTTTTTGGACCACATTTTTACAAAACAGTCAAAGACATAAGATGGCAGTCCTCTTGCAGTGCATATGCATACAGAAGAACAGAACCTTCATCACGTCCAAAATACTCAAGTCAACGAAAAAAACTAAAAAATTCCAAGTTTTAGTCTTCTGTTACTTACTGCTTTTACACTGAAAACAAACTACACTGAAAACAAACTGAACCAGTTGTTACAGTCCATGACTGTTTTCAAAGTTATTTTATGAAGCACTTAAAAAATAGCAGAACCTCTCCTCTGCCTCCCCCAGCTCCCCAAAACAGACCTGACACTGGTCCATGTATGTCCCAGTTCCGTTGTGTACTGCTTCTCAAAATGATCCAAAACAACTTGACAAATCTGCTTTTGAGGTTTCCCTTTTGTTTTATTTTCCAGCTTCAGAAATAGAAGGAAAAAAGAAAAGCAGTAAAGACAAACAAATGAAACCTTCCCTAGTTCTCATTAGAATTATTAAAAGAACATTTTATCAATTTAAATCGACTTAGTAACAGTGATACTAGGATGCTCAATCAAGGTCACATCATACATGTGATCAAGACGTAACAGAAATTTCAGAGAACAAACTAGTTAAGCTAGTGTACTCCCTCTGTCCCTACCTGCGAAGAGGTCATTGGAAGCTTGCTGATAATACTCCTCCATGTCCACTATGCTAATAATACGGTGGTTCCTGGGACTCTAATACACCAGGAGCAAGATAAGCAAGGTGTGATTATGATCCTGCACTACGATCACCTCTGCCAAGATGTACCCATGTGCTTAAGTAAAAGAAAGAAATTGATTTGAACCATTGTGGAAGTCAGCTGGAGTTGAGCCACAAAGCACCGCAATAACTAATTTATTCCAGGAATAAGGAAAAGAAAAAAAAAATCGGCTATGCTTTCGGTTCTTTTTTTAACCTATGAAAATTTTGTATTTTATTTGGGGAGGGAGAACTTTTAGTTTCTAGGCAAACTCGTGCTACTCAGAAGGAAAACCCGAAGGCAAGCACTAGGTTTTGGCTGACTTCCCCCGCCAAGGACAGGCGGCAGCCCTCCCCTCCCCTCC